AAATGGAAAACTAAATGGTAATTTAAAAATAAAATTAAGATCTAAAATTTAATTCCATTTATTTTCGATGATACTGAATTTCACGTGTACGCCTCTGTCTCGCATCTAAAGTTCCTACCTCTGTCACCGGCTATGGGGGAAAAATGATAAATATTTGTGGCCTAATCCAAAAGCGAAAAGAAAGATGCAAATCATAAGCAGCGGAAATGAATATGCCTCTACCTATACGTATTAGGCATCATCCCATATCCACAGTTTGAATTCCAAATCTTTGAACACGCTGTCTTGTAGTAGCCCGTCAAAACAGGATAAACAAACAAACAAGCTATGCCAGAGTACAAACACTCTAACCTTAATTAAAAGCTGAGTCACATCCTTCATTGTGGATACATATTCCTCCGTAAGATTTTCAACATAGACACCAGACTTCACATCTTCTCTTATCTGGATGGAAAACCAATTAAATATTAAGTTCCCCATGTAACAGAAAACTGAGTATTAATAGAAGAATTTAAAAAAAGTTCCTTCTACCTGAAGGTTCCTTTGATTGGGATCCACTAAATCTGTTATTTGTTCATTGTAAATCTGCAAAAATTGGAAGTTCAGGTTTTGTGAAGTTACTAGCTCAAATTTCATTTATACCAAAAAGGAGCTTCCAATCCCTGACCTCGAGAAACGAGCAGCGACATTGATATTTGAGTTGCTTTTCTGCATGCTTAATTTGTTCCTACAAAGAAAAAACAACAAAGCAGAAATATTATTAGTAACTGAACATTGTCTTAACTCCAATAAGTTTGCCATCAAATAAAACTCATCACCTCGTTTATTCGTGCAAAGAGTCGTTCAAAGACACGAGGAGTTAAGCCTTGTTGATCACTAAAAAAGTTTTCTTCTAACAAGGCATTGGCTGGGCCCCATATAGTATAAGTTTTGCCACTGCCAGTCTTGTGCAAGCAAATTCCGAGCATATGAAGAAGTTTAGTCATAAGGAAAACAAAAAAAAAAATCAAAGCAAAAAGGGAAACTAAAATACCTGTCCATAGGCAAATACAGAACTGTTGAAGCCAGCTAGACAATTTTCAACCAGAGGGGCTCCTACAAGCTCAAAAATATCTAGCTGCAAAGAACAAAACCAAGGAAACTTTTTAGCATCTCAGTATTAATTAATGTTTCTTTCACGATGAAGTACAGAGAAATGTGATAACAAGATGAAAGACCATACCTGTGTTGCCTCCATGTCAGCAACTGAGTCAAATGTGAAGGACTGTCCGTTGAATGTCAAAGAATCACTGTTAAGTTTGTGAACTATCATGTCCCCTTCCTCATCTTTGTTGGGTGGCCGCATCCGTACTACTACCTGAAATAGATGTGCCAGAAATTACTCAAACAGAATAACAGAATTCAAAGAACTTCAAAATGAATATGCTGAAAAGATTCCATACAACCATGTGTAGGTTTAAAGAGAAACATATTCAAGAGCATACTATCATACCAAAAAAATGACGGACAGGAACCAATGTTTAGAAAGAAGCTATCTATCAAAGGATATTTATATATCTGGATATATCCTTTTCCTGATTTTCTCCACAAAGCAAAAAAACTTACCAACCATTGCCCTATATCAATTAATACCTTTCCTAATTAAAAACAAGTTCTAAATTAGCATTATTTTTCCATTTCTATTACTATTTCTGCTTTCTTGGCAAACAACAAGAACAGCAGTAGAGTATTCTCTCCCCAGGGAAAATTTAGTATTGAATTCTCTTGCATCAAACAAACAAAAGGGAAGCATATGAAATTGAATTGAAAGATTTAAGATAAATAATTCCCTAACAGATGCACTGTTAGACGGCTACCATAAAAAGAACACAAAACCGATGCTCCTTCAAGAAGGTTCACTCTCGCACTTTCTTCTCAGATAAAGTAACAAACAAACAAGATTGACGTAGATTTTCCTTTTGCTGCAGAAATAAAAGTAAATTAAAGCCATAGAAAGTTAAACCAGGAAAGTAATTATAACTTGCTACTTCAAGTGATGCAAAAACTAAATTTTCCTTATTCTCCGTAAATTTTCCTTCATTTCCGAAACAGCCAAAAAAAGCTTCACAATATCGCTGTAAAGCATAGACCACAAAGTTCTACTAAGTTCCCTCCTAAAACATAAACAAGAAAAAATACAAGATCCAGGACCCGATCTCATCTCATTTCCCCGTCATTTTTTCTTAATACCCTCGCAAATCATACAAAAGCTTCACAGTTCAAACACAGCAAGGAGAGGAAAAGGTGAAAAACCTTGACACCGGAGTCTGAAACCCGGGACACGGAATTTTCGAGGACGGTCTCCATGCTGAGCTTGCGCTTCAGAGGGTTGGAGGACGGAGGCCGCGGCGGCAAGGGACTTTTCATCTTGGTGACCGGCGACTGCTTCTGGTCGGACGGCAAGGAGTTCAGATCTGAAGGCGGAGCATTCTCTTTGGCGGATTTATGCTTCCTAGGTGGCTTTGACTTGGCAGAATTAGGGTTTGGTGAGGATGTTGCAGAAGATGACGGCTCATTTTCCCTCAAGATCGCGCTTCTTGGTAGCATGAAGTGCTTCATTGCCTGCACTTCGTAGCAACTGTGGGGAGAAAAAGAGAGGAGCTGCGCGTTGTGAGAGACGAAGAGGGAGAGAGTTGGGTTTGGGCAAGGAGGCGAGAGAGGAGGAGAAGAGACAAGGAGAGGGAAAGAGAGGAAAACTTAGCCGTTGGACATAATTTGAAATTCTGACTTTTTTAATTTCCTTTGGAGAGAGAGAGAGAGAGAGGGAGCACCATCAATTTTGAATTGGTGGTGTAGATCTGGAGGACTTGTTTGGAGCTTTTACATTTGTTCTTAGAAATTATCTTCATAGAAGATCAACAGATCAGAGTGGCGCAGCGGAAGCGTGGTGGGCCCATAACCCACAGGTCCCAGGATCGAAACCTGGCTCTGATAAATTTTTTTCCCAAACTCCGCCAACGTGGGCTTTTACTAGCTCCAGCTTTTGACTTGGTCTTGTTTTGCATATCTGTCTTCATAACGGACTGTAACACCAGTCCATAATCCAAAATATTGTAATATTTTTTTTTATCTTTATATATTCATCAAATAAATATTCATTAGGAACATATACTTATAGCAATATAAAAGTTTTATTAAAGTTTATGAAGATAAAATATTTTTTGATGAATATATAATGCATATTAACATTATATTAAACATTTTACTCATAAATAACTACGAAAAAAAGAGCTAACTTTCCTACTTGCGACCTTCCTTGCTCGAAGAGAAGCTGTGGCTTTCTTATTTTAAAATTTTTTTAAAAAAAAAATATAGGAGATAATATAAATAAATCTAAATTACTGAACTTAATTATAAAAATAGGGTTAATAGATTTTGAGAATATAGGAAATTGATAAGATAAAAGATATAGAAATTAATAAAAGTTGAAGATAAATGTGAAAATTTCTGATCTGATAATTTCGTGTCTGATTTTTGGATTAAAAAAATACTGAATTGATTATTTAAACTCTAAAAGAAATTGAGAAATTTCTCAATTTTCTAATGGAAAATATTTTTTTACCATTTTATACGTTAGACTCTACATATTTATTAATAGTAATTATTTTCTTACTTAATTTTCTAAAATATATGTATATATATATATATAAAGAAAGTTTTTTTAATCCAGTGATGTCAGAATGAAATATGGGCATGGAATCATGAATGATAAGGCAATTGTGCGTAATAAATAAAAACCGTGTGTAAGTACAACATCGAGCCATGCATGCAGAAGAGCTAGCAGAGCACACAGTCGCAACGCCACATGTCCAGCAACCTCATCTGCGTGGCAGTCTCTCCAGTTCTCAAATTCATTCCTCAAATGATCCAATCAATCCGCAGCACCGCCCGAGACGATAAGCCACAGGTCCCCCCAGAACAAAACAAATTAACCCAAAAATCCAAACTCCATTCTCTCAACCTCTTTGCAGTACGCGGCAGCCCACTGGCGTCCACGCACACCGTCTTAAATTGCGTGTCCACATCCGCACAACCTCTCCTATAAATTGACTCCCCGTCGATTTCCTCTTGCAGAAAATCACAGACGCATCCGACAGATTCAGCGAGATGAGCACGACAATGGCGGCGATGGTGATATTAACACTGGTGGGTTTGAGTACGTTGTTGAGTGAGGCGGAGGGTTTTCATTACAGAGGGAGAAAGGTGGGAGGAAGGACGGAGGTGAAGAACGTAAGCGAAAACAAAGAGGTGCAGGATCTAGGGAGATTCTCCGTGCAGGAGTTTAACCGGCGGAGCCAGATTGCTGTGGACGGCGGCGACAGTACGAAGTACTCGGTCGCGTTTTCTCGGGTGGTAGCGGCGGAGAAACAAGTGGTGGCGGGGCTTAAATACTATCTGAAGATCGAAACGACGACGTGGGATGGGTCAACGAGAATGTTTGACTCCGTTGTGGTCGTGAAGCCGTGGCTTCATTCTAAGCTGTTGCTTCACTTTGCGCCCGCTGATTCGTACATCAGTAGTTAATGAATAATGATTAGCAGTAAATAGTTGAATGTGAGGTTTTCGTCTTTGTACCGGGAATGTTAATGGAGATTTTGGGACTTCAATTTTCTTTTTTTTTTTTTAAATTTAAAAATGAATAAGAAGAGCATGTAACGTGAGACTGTTGTATAATTTTGTTCTTAATCGAAATAAAAATAACTTAATTAACGCGTATTTTGTAAATTTAAATTATAAATTTGTTTAAATAAATCTAAATTTAAAATTTATCTTATAAATTTCAATGGATGCATAATGACGGCTTCGCGAGATTAACTAGGGTTTTAGAGTCGGTAACTTTAAGCTTCATAGATTTCCTTCGCAGACAGAACAGGTGCCTGTTAGCACAGGCTCACATATTCACGCACAACAGGCTCACATATTTTGCTGCGTAGCCATGGGTAAGACTTCAGCTCTCTGTATTATCTCTTTCTTCTTCACCGGCTTTCTCAGAGAGTGGTTGATTATTGTTATGGCTGATGCTCGTTGCTCGTATGTGAAGGTATATCACGCGATTCTATGCACAAGAGGCGTGCCACTGGAGGCAAGAAGAAGGCGTGGAGGAAGAAGAGAAAGTAATCACGCCTTTCTTTCTCATATGGATCTACGTTTGTTCGTTTTTTCTATGTTTTCTTGAGTCTGTTGTTTGGTTGGTAAGAAAAGGGGAGAAGGAAAGGAAAATTTTGATGTATTCATCCTCCATCCTGCTCTTTTTCAGACTTCAATTTTCACTCCCGAGTTACTTGCTTATCCACCTCTCTGCTTGGTCTAGTAGCAAATGTTAGTAAGTATTCCTAATATTCTCCTTCAAATTAATAATCTAAAATAGATAATGTCGTAATAATCGTTGTTAACGTTTAGATTTTTCTCAATTGCATCTACTACCGTCACTAGCCTCTAACAAATCAATGGACTCTACAAGGAGTACTGTTATAATAGACGTCAAAATTTAGGTTTTTTCCTGTGCCACTACTGTGACTGGACTCGAAGGATTGAATCGCTTAAAAGTAAAACCTTAGTGGTGATCCCAAATTCTCTCTGAATCCAATACTTTAGAAATTATGCCAAATTTCAAATTTGAACTAGCTATTGCCTAACCTTTTTTTCGCTTTTGATGAGGAATTATCTGAGATTCAGATTATCAGGGCAATCAGAAACCTAGTCCTTATCAAGACTGGTATAGATCAACAAATAGAAACTTTGTTTCTGGTACTTCGCAAATTGATAAATTGTTGCAAAATCTGCAGGCCTGGAGCCAGTCTTGTTTAATTACTGGAGTTTCTCCTATCAGTATTGGAGCTTTGTTTTCTTCTTTTTTTTTTTTTTTTTTGAAAAGGTATTGGAGCTTTGCTTAATATTTAGTTCTTTGATGGTTTCAGGTATGAACTTGGCCGTCAGCCTGCTAATACTAAGCTATCAAGCAACAAGACAGTGCGACGGATTCGTGTCAGAGGAGGAAATGTTAAGTGGAGAGCGCTAAGATTGGATACTGGAAACTACTCGTGAGGTAGCGAAGCTGTCACCCGTAAAACTCGTATTCTATATGTGGCTTACAATGCTTCAAAGAATGAGCTTGTCAGAACGCAAACTCTGGTGAAAAGTGCAATTGTTCAAGTTGATGCAGCACCCTTCAAGCAATGGTACCTGCAGCACTATGGTGTTGATATTGGTAGAAAGAGGAAGGCAGCTACTGCTGCTAAGAAGGAAACCGCAGAGGTACTGATTATTTGTTCTCTGAAATGTTTTTGCTACTTCTTATATTTCTAATTATCTTTCTTCTATGTGATGCAGGGCAAATTAGGGTTCTTTGCCTAGTAGGAATTTGAGAATAAAAATTCCGACATCACATTTAAGAATTTGATTAAATTCACACAATCAGAAAATTAAGAACTCTTGAAATATTTTATTGAATGACTAAAATTATAAAAGATATTTGTAATGATTTCTAATAAACCTTTTCATTTTTTTTAAAGAAAAAAATGAAAAACTAACAAACCTTTACTAAACAGGATTAAATTCGAAAATAATAAAACTTATAAGATTGCATACTCTGGTAAGATAGAAGATTAAGGATACTATAATAGAATAGGAAACTCTGCTAAGACATATAGGAAAAACGTAATACTAATAAAAATAAAATCCTAAAGTTAGTAAAATTATAATAATAGTCTCCTACATTATATAGTAGTTTTATATTAATAAAACTAAAATTTCTAGTCTACATCAGATGTATGTTGCTATTCCATTCTGCATCAGCATGTGCTTGGGACTAGCTTGTATAGAGTATTATGGATATTAGATTTATTGTTTTCGGCCTCAAGAAGTTTCTGACCACATGAAGTTTCTTTCCTCCCCCCCACCCCCGGGGGAAATGTATCTTATGTTAGGGCTATTTTGTCGAAAATATCCTGAGTGCTAAAACGCACCCTATGTGTGTTTGATCATTGTATAATGCCCTAAACTACCTTATCATTTCTGGTGGCCTGATATGCAACCCAGGTGTGCTATTTAACATTGTCTCAGAGGATAAGGTGGTTCCTTGCTAGCTGCCAGCTATTGTTGATTACCAATTACCTATTAGCTACTTTTGGATATTCTTTGCTTTTGCCCAAATAAAATGGGGGCTGCTATTTTCTCCTCTCTCATACACAAGAGCAAATGTGTCGAAAGTTGCAATGGCCTTAGATATTTATATATTTATAGAATAATTAGGGATAGGAGTGGACTTACCTGCATTTCTTTATATCACAAGATTTCTGGATAAGGTCGTTAGTTGCTCTCCTTGTATCTTCGTTAATACTCCAAATAGAACTCCTCTGGAACTTGGCAATTTTTTGTCTGGTTGATGTGTATTATCGCGGTCCAATAGACAATATGTTTTGTTTTCTCATGGTGCATGGTCCTAACACGTATCTAGCCATGTTGAAATTAATAAACTATATTCTATGCTTAATGCAAGACGGAGGGAGGAGGAACTACGGAGGAAACAAGAAAGAGTAATCATGTCCAGAGGAAGCTGGAGAAACGTCAGCAGGATCGTAAACTGGATGCCCACATTGAAGAGCAGTTTGGAGGTGGTAGGTTGCTGGCTTGTATCTCATCCCGACCAGGTCAATTTGGCAGAGCTGACGGGAGGGTAACAAATGGAAATACTTCTACTTCTTGATTTGGTCTTTGACACGATTTGTATCATCCAATTTCTTTTTTTCTTTTGCTTACCTAATAAATATTCCAAACAGATACATATTGGAGGGGAAGGAACTCGAATTTTATATGAAGAAGCTCCAGAGGAAGAAAGGCAAGGGTGCAGGTGCTGCTGCTTAGACTTGTTACGTTATAAGTTTAGATCATATATTTTTTGTGATACTCTGGCAAACAAATTCAGTTCTTTGCTGGTGCAAAATCTTTGAAGGCTTTGGGGCAATCCAAGCTTTAAATTCTTTTAACGCAATCCCAGGATTAAACAAACTGTTAGATAATTTAGAATTTCCGATTATTTTATAACTTTGAGCTCTAATAGTAATTTTATTATGGGTAATGACGGTAGTGACCATTGGTATTTTTGTTTTTGTAATTTTTTGGAGTTTCAGTTAGTTAAATGTTTCTAGATCCCAACATTCAATCTGGTTTCTCATTAGCAGAGACTGTCGTATACTCAGACTAGCATAACTACAGGGAAAAGACCCCCAAAATAGAACAGTCAATTCGAGGATTGATATGGAAGATAAGGATGCTTCAAATTTTGATTTAAAAGAATGGAGATGAAAATGTAATATAAACATGGTAGCTGAATGAAGAGAAATCTGTTTTCGTGATAATTTGTAAAATGGCATTGGATGTGAAAGTAGTTTAATGACCTATTGAGCAAGTTACTTGTGTACATTCTAATATATTAGAATAATGTGTTCCTTTAAATACGTTATTTTATATATAGGTATCAAAATAGATGTAATTCAAAGAAATGAAAATTTACAAAATATAGAGAATATCTTCAACTGGAAACTAAACTTGGTCTCCGCATCTAGACGAAAACATAAAATATTATGGAAAGGATTAGATCATAAACGAGGCGCCTCATCATACAGACTTTTAGGAGTATTACACCATCATCATTCCATATAGAACACCAGAATTACAAGTACTATTACTTAGACAATGCGAACCCATGACCTTGACTAGTTGACCTTATTCACTTCGTATGGTAACTGAAAAAAAAAAAAAGGAGAAGCACGGAGGAAGATGACATCAAGCTTTGCTATCAATAGCCATGGGCACGGGCTCCTGCTTCGCTGCAGATTTTGTCCCACCCATCATTTTGGAGAATATGCTGCCGTAGAATTGGGCGTCCTTCTTGTTGTACTCCCTGACTTTCTCCTTCAACATCTTATACTCCAGTTTCACTTCCCTGATCGTAAACCAAGCAATAAATTTATTAGAATTTGGCAAGCAGATTAATCCAACATTACCAAGGATCTCTTAGGTAGCATTTGGTTAATTCTAATTCCCTTCCTATTCGACTTTTATTTACAGTTTATACATCTTAGCTTTAGTACAAATTGTTTGATGGTTTAAGTTCTCACCACCTCAATTGAGCCAAACAACATAGCAGATTACATGCTTTCCTGTCAGATTACAGTAGCCTCAGTTGTATCACATATTTGAAAAATAAAAGATTAGAACAGCAAATATACCTGTTATCAGGGTCAATCTCAAGAGCCTTTTTAATGTCATGCTCCGCCAAGTCCAGATCAACAAGTTGAATATATGCTTGTGCCCTCCTGTAAAGTGCTTTCACGTTCCTACTCTCAAGTTCTAACACCTGAAAAATCTCACCCAGATGACATGAGTGCATTGCGTGCATGAATGTAGTTTGAAAACCATTAAGTAAATTTAAAAGGAAGACAGATTGAAGTAAACGTCATTTGTTGAAGAGAGAAACAAACCTTAGTGCACAGCTTCTCTGCCTGTCTGTAGTCTTTAAGTTTCAGTTTGCAAGCAGCATTGTTGAGATTGCAAGTCACCTTTAGCACCTTGGTCTGTTGCCTCTCCTCTTCGCTGAACGAGGA